CTCAAGCTTTAACTATTTGTTATGTGGTCACTTCCTCAACACCACTTACAACTGCAATGAAGCTCCCGAGAAATTAAAGCTGTCAAGCGCTTTCGTCTGATCACCTCAATGGGTGAGTGCAGGCACAGGTTGCTTTCAGTCTTGAACAAGCACTTTGCATTTGGATGGTGCAAAGCACCTACCATATCTGAATGTCTCGATATCCATGGGTGTAAAGCGTGTTGGACTGCCTGTGTATTGTCTCTCAGCAAGGTAATGTCATCGGCATATTTTAAGTCTAACCAAGTGGCGTACTGGCAGTTGGAACGTCAGATGTTCGTAATAGGCTGTCGTACGAATATAGAGCTAAAACAGTTCCAGTTATCCGAGTGATAGGAATGTATTTCAAAAGGAACTCCCAGATGCGCTTCTATGGAGACATCCGGCCTACTTTAGCATTCATTTCTCCTGATACAATGACGATATCACCCCGATTCGCTTTACGCAAGGGATCCTTTAGCTTTTAGTAGAACTCATCTTTGACTGCAGTCCGTTGGAGCTTACACCGACATGAAACACACATATCATCTATCAGGGTGGAAGCTACTTACTTTTCACGAACGTTAGTCTCATTGCACACCACCTACTGTCGAATGGGATCCATTCTAGGAGCCCGGGTTCAGCTATCTTACTGGGGGCTACATCAACGCCTGAAAGACCGGAACCCGCAGCTTCAATATCCCCAGAGTGGCGTAGGTGAAAAATCGAATATTGGTTTTATGGGGCCTTCAATTGGATAATGTAGCTAGAGTCTTAAATGCCAGTTTCTTGTATACTAAACATCGATGGCTAGGGTTTCGATTGAGCTAACTATACCTGTTTTCCTGTACGCATCACAATTGCACATTAAATCTGTTAGTTTGAATGAACAAATCCTGGTAATCTGAACTTACCTAGACATTTGACACTGGTGATGCAAAATGCTACTAATGTTATATATCCACAAGCCATTGATGGGACGGAGAGGGTTGTTCATTGCGAACAACGATAAGAGCATCGATAAAATGGCGTACACGCAACAAAACGTCCTTTTCGAACAGGTCCTCGTAATTTTCACAAGCACGTAGGTAATCAATGGAAGGGTCTGACTGTAAATGTGTCTCTTCTGTAGTTACAATGTTGAATACGTTGATGCGCTCTAGGATGTCCTGTTCACTATTTGACCTTGGTGAGAAATCACCTATCACTGTGCAGTCCAAACATACTACTCACAAATGGGAGTAGCATCTCACAACCTCACCTCTACCCATGGACAACGATGAAACCGGTCGTTAAAAATACAGCTTTCTTTTAAACAAACATGTCAAACAAGGGGACATAGGAATTGAATCATTTGAACAAGTCGGTGGGCAAGGGAGNTTGAACCAGTTCACTACCGTATCAAATTTTGTCATGAACTTGACCTTGACCCGCTACCGAACAAAATCATGCAACTCTCTTGTCCACCGCAATGTTCATCCACTGCATGCTTTTTTATAAGGGAAGTGCAACGTTCAGGCATACTTCTCACTAGCTTCCGGATTGCTTGATCCTCTGAATTTTATCACTCCTGAAGGATCACTGCCTTTTTTGTATTCATGGACTCCCAAAAAGTCTACATCCGGTTCAGATAAAATTTGTCTTTTGGTCAATGCATTGTGTTGATGCTTTGGTGCAGCAGATACATTCTAGTGACGTAGGCTACACGTAAGGAGGCGATAAAGTGTTAGAGAACCGCGGTTCGCAGAAGGTAATCGTGACGAGGAGAAATTGGTTCAAGGTTTGATGCAACCTAGACTGTCTCATTTTGTTCGAAAATTACTTTCTGAGACTTTTAATTCACAAGAACCAGTCACCAATTTACGTGAGACCCCCACCGTAGACTTAGTTAATGCTACGTTGATCGCGTCGGTAGTACCTGAGTCTAAAAAGGCCGTCAAAGGTGAACATTTTCTGAATACCACACGGTTCCATTCGGAAGTTCTGTTGATTTGAATTTTACCTC